TCGCTCTCAAAAAAGAAGAGACGTCGTGGCTCAGCGGCTAAGATGCTGAGCTTGTCGATCAGAAAGGTCGGCAGTTCAGTGGTTCGAATCCCTAGCGCCACATAAGGGAGTGAGCTCCCGTTACTTATCCCAGCTTTTGCCAACCTAGCAGTTCGAAAGCATGTAATAATGCAAGTAGGAAAATAGGAACCACCTTTGGTGGGAAGGTAACAGCGTTCGGTGCGCCTTTGGCGTTTAGTCATGCCAACCACATGACCACGGAAACATCTTTGGCAACGCTGACTCTTTGGCTTTGAAACAGAGATGAGCACCGCCCTAGAGTCGGGAACAACTAGTGCATATGTGCGAGGGGAACTTTTACCTTTACCAAAAAAGAAGAAGATGGAAGGAAAGTGAGCAAAGGGACTGTTTAGAGAAGGAAAGATTAGGAAGAACTGCCTTGGGGAAGAAACGCCATGAGGTTGTCCTACTAATTGCAGACCTTCTAAGGCAGAGAAAGAGATACTTTGCAGTTGTTTCTTGCCAATCAGCTAGGATATATTAATATATTTCTTACGTTTATTTGCCATCCACCTTGTTTCAAAAAGGCCCTGGGTACCTAGAGACTAGATTCATTCCCCTACCTCTTGATGGTTTGGGGATTTGGGTGAATTGTCATGGCCGCTATTCTGACTTTTTTGATCCCAATCTTGGGGCTACTTCCGATTGAGTTGGCGAGAAAACTTCCACTTATTGAAACTTTGCAGGTTAGCTATTAACATCTTCTTTCTTTTGATCCAATCCATCTGTCTATATTTTTCTTTCTTTCTTGAGGAGTAGGGATAGTCAATCCTTCATTGTTCGTATTTTTGAACAAAAAATGTTCCCACTTCTGTATAAATATTAAAGATGCAAGCATCTTTTGATTTTGGATCAGGTGACTGCAAATATGGAGTATTAAAATAGTAATGTGGAACAGAAGTTGGATCTACACACACATTGTCATTATCAGTGTGTTAACTCTCACTCACTCCTGGTATAGATGATGCATGCTCCAGCTTGTCCTCCTGGCACTGCGGTCTACCACACCATCACACTACTGTGACTCTGCTGCTAAATACACACATTCCAGTTACAAATCTCCATTAGCAAGCCAGCATGGCACTTCAGAAACCACAGGAAACATCAATTTCAGACACAGCAACCTTATTTCTATGCTCTCATTATATGCTTCACAAGCCGGTGGAATGAAATTTCCTGTGCATTCCTCCATGGTTGTAGATTGTTTTACTGGAAAAAAATCACATACCCTATTTCCCACCTCATTCTCAAGCCAGCCTCTAGAAAAACAGTAACAGCAAGATATGCAACTGCTATGTTACAGCGTACTTAGAATTTGTTGGCTGAACAGATAAGGAGGCTTGTCTACCACGGTCCTTGCCAGCTTCTCTAGCGCCTTGGCCTCCTGATACACAACCCAACCCGTTAATCCTCTGTTGGTGAAAACCGTCTACAAAAAAAGCACATCGGGTGTGGAGGATTTATGAATAACTTGCAAATTACATGCACCGGGTGTGACGGTGTTGACTCCTTTCCCTCCGAAATCCATTTTTCTCTTCAAGTGCTTTTATGGTGAGTGATGCACTTGATCATCTGTTCCTATTTGCATACTGATTCAAAATGTGTGTCTCCCCGTGTTCTCAATCTCAAACATCCTCAGTGCATCTACGGTAGGTCTTATTTGGTGGTGGGGCAGGAGATGAAATAGAGAGTGATTGCTTGCACTTAATCAGCAGTCCCCAACCTCTGCAGACCGGCAGTGGTGGCAAAAGGGGGAAGAGAGGCGATGGTTTTGCACACATGCGTATTGGTAGCGTGAACGCAGCTTTGTGCACTCATGTGCTTGCCTACTGCTTGTGCGGGCCAGTTCCCATGGGGCTGTGACCTGGCATCCGATCTGCCGCCAGAGCATAAGAACACAAAATAGTAACAGGTTCTCCATGAGCTACTAGGACTGTTTGTTTGAAATTACCCCCTAACCAGACGGCAGCCAGTAAAGTAATGTCAGAGATGTGTCCAGCATAAAAGTGTGGCACCTGATCACTGCCCGTCTGGTAGGGTTCAGTAGTTCTTTCTGGTAATTAGAATTTACAGATACTGAGACACTTGACTGAAATCGAAGAAAGTGAATTGGCAGAAATGATAGGAAACTGTGTTAGAAATTTTGTTTTTGAAGCCAGGCAGTTGAACCCCAAAGTCCTCGTGGGCAGAAACGCTTGGGGGAAACGTCCAACCTGGGTTGCTTTTACAGCCAGCTGCAGGTTGAATTAAAAAGGACTGCATAGCCCCAACCTTTTGGGTACCAGTTTCGTGGAGAGAAGTTTTTCCAGAGGACCGGAGGGGGGCTGATTTTGTGTTCTGCCTGCATCCTATGTGGATGGGGCTTCGGTTGTTTGCAAAGCCTGGTTTCTGCATGCTGCGGACCAGTGCCAGCCCATGGGCCAAGAGTTGGGGACCTCTCTGACCTACAGGATTTAAAATCGTTATCATGTTAACCTCCTAATGGCACTCCACAGAGATGAGATCTCTTTTTTTTAATGTTTACTCATCTGCAAGCACAGTTCAGCAAAGGTTCCCTG